TTATATATCGGTCAATGTATCAATCTGAGAAGTATTTTCAATCAATTGTCAATTAATTCTTTGTTTACAAGCCATTTGAAGTTGACGTGTCGGAATATTTTTTTAATATGGAAAAAATAGAATATCGCGCAGTGATTAGATTCTTTGTTTTGAAAGGTTTAAAAGCAAGGGAAATTTATGAACAATTGCTAGAAGCGTATAAGGAGTCCTCACCTTCAACATGCACCGTTGAATTTTGGGCTGGTGAATTTAAACGTGGACGTACTAGGCTTGAAGACGATCTAGGCAAGTTCATAATATTATTAGTGAAGACCCAAGTTTGACTAAGCGTGAAATTGATAATGCCATAGGCATCTCAAACGAACGAGTACCTTATATTTAAAATGGAAAATTACATATGAAAAAGCTGTTTGGAAAGTTAGTGCCGCACACGTTAACAATTCAGCAAAAACTGTATCGAAAAAAAATGTCTCATAACATAGCATAATTTGGAGAGTTTTGAGCAGAATAAACCCGATTTCTCGCATCGTGTTATAACTATGGATGAGACTTAGATTAACACCATGATCCTAAATCGAAACAAGAACGTTTACAGTGAACTGAAGCTGGTTTTTTAGCTTCAAAGCAGGTGAAGTCACAAAGATCAGCAAAGAAGGTTATGGCGTCAGTTTTTTGGGATACAAAAGAAATTTTGTTGATTGATTATTGCAGCCGTTTGGATTAGCTAAATGAAAAAATTCGTGAGAAAGACCTGGTTTGCAGAACAAAAAATTATAATTTTTTATCAAGACAATGCACCTGCTCACGAAGGTGTTTAACAATGACAAAATTCAAAGAATTTAAGTACGAATTGCTTGAGCATCTACCGTATTCACCAGATTTGGCCAACGACTACTACCTCTTCAGAAACCTGAAACAATTCCTTCGTGGAAAGCGTTTCTCGTCGAATGAAGAAGCGTTTACAGCCGTAAACGGGTATTTTGCAGAGCTTCCAGAAATTCATTATAGAGATGGCATAAAGCTATTAAAGGATCATTGGAATTAGTGTATCGAAGTTAAGGAAGATTATATTTAATAATAAAAACATATTTTGTACCAAAAACAGTAGTTTTTTCATTTCGAGCGCAGAAACTTTTCAACCAACCTGTATGTCGGAATATATGTTAGATATCTTAGCAATATCTCTCTTATAATGTTGGATAGTTTAATGCCGAAATTTTGTTGAATCAGTCCCCCGCCTTTGTTCTTTGCAAATTGTGGAAGCATATAAGTAAAGTGTTTAGTTACACCGGAACTTAGCCCTTCTTTACTGTTATTCATAAATTTTATTTTATAACGCTTAATAAAGTAACTTTTAATAAGATCACTGATTCCTTTTAACTCCAGAAATATCTCTCCTAATTGATCGAGACCAAACGGTATTATTTATTTATTAAATATATTCAATAACCGTACATTCATTAAACAAACACCATCATATTTATTCATTGTGTTGAAAATGTCAAATTTTGTACTGGAAAGTGATGGTTTGCGGAAAGCATTTCCATTTGAAGAAAAGTGCTGCAGAGTCGCATCAAATGTTTGTCGAGGCATATGGTGAGCATGTTTTATCAAAAGCAACATGCAAAAGATGGTTTCAATGGTAAATTTTTTTTATTTTCCCATTCAAAATTAGTATTTCATTTTCACACATTTCTTATTTCATACCGGCACACCTGGTATACTATCAATTTAAATGGTATTTGGTATTACCTGTAAATAAAGCAAACACGAGTATAAGTGCTTATGTCTTCTTCATCATCTTGGGAGTATAACCTTCTGTCAATTTAAATATAAAGGAAGTGGCGATTTGCATTACGACTTTGACTTCGCAAAGTCGCAGTTCTTTGACAATTTCCAACTCTTCTTCTCTTTTCCAAGTCTCAAAAGGTGTTTTCTGCCATAGGTCCTCAAAAGACAAGTGGCAGAAGAAGCCTGGTATTAAGAGGCACATAATTTTTAAACTTTCAATATCAATCTGACTATCAAAGAAATAAGTTTAAACAATTCGACCTTTGCAAATTATCCACTTGAGAAAACATTTAAAAAAGAGCGTACAATCGGTCAATTGGAAGTATAAACAGTTTTACATTTAATTCAGAATAAACCGGAAAAAGCTGTTCGCTATGTTCGGCAGCAAAAAGAAAAAAATTTCAATTCGGTTTACTGAGAACAAGATACTAACTTTAAAAAAGGGTGAAATCGAACTAAACAAAAATCATATAATTCTTGATTAATTGAAAGATATGTTATAAGTTCATGATATAAATGCAAGGAATAAATTACCTCCTTATTGTACTTGTATAACCTCACATGCGTACATTAAGTATTTAGAAATTCAGTTGGGCTGTTTGCACCAATGTCAAGAATGAAGTTGAGTAATAAAGTTTAATTTAAATTATTTGCTTATTTACAGAGTCAATAGGCATGATAAAAATTTAATTATATACTAATTTTGTAGTTCTTGAGATAAGAAGAAGGTAGCCCTTCAATTTCAACTAATAATGCTGTGTCATAGTTAATGTATTGAACTAAAACATATATCGAAAAAGTTGCCAATTTACTTTCCCAAAATTCCACACTTTTACATTTTAGCACAATTAGTATGTATGTTACAGCAATAGAGTTGATATCATAAGATTATCAAGAGCTTTTAATATATTTTTGCGAGTGTATTTAAGTTCTTCGCCTTGAAACGATTCACGAAAAAGGAGCTCCTGAAACACAGTTCTTTTTTAATCTAATTTTTTATAAAGACTTCTGTTTCACGGATTATTAAAGCTGTATTTGAACACACAAAAACTTTTTACACATTGTATTTAAAAATAAAAGTAACATATGCTATATATTGAGGATTCCATTCAAATAGGAGAGTTCGCAGTTTTCAAAATCTAATTCGTTAGGAAGCTAACAGAGGCTCGATTTGATCAAAGTTATTTGTTGTAGGCGTTTGTAATCAACCCTTTCTATTGATCTTTTGACTCAAGTTTGAATTATATGAGTCTTTTCCGGTACGGTTCACCACCACCTAGTTACATTTTCTACCAAATTAAATACTTTTTAACGAAAAAAAAGGTTTGGTAAAACCTGAACCTGCCATAAATGTTTGCTGATAAACGTTAATCAAGTAGTAAATTTTATCGATTGTGAAAATAAATTGAAATTTTTTAAATTTGCTCGTACTAATCACAATCAAAAACTTACTTTATTTCACAAAATGGCATTCAATTGGTTTTCTTATAATATTCCATACAAACAAAATATTTTTAAGTATAGTGTGGGCCAAACAGGTAACTAATAGAATATACAATGGACATACACGGCGTATACGTAATATAAAGCTTGGTTTAATTAATGGTACAGCCATTTGTCGGTAACGCCTCCTACTTACCATATTTCTCAGTTGCTTCCTTAAAGTTACTAAAATACGTGCTACGTAATACCGTTAATTCTTCTATCACAATATTTCACAATAATATGCAATCGGATAACACGAAATTTTCAATTAACGGATTTTATGTCTTTTTAAGCGTAACGCGTAGTTAACCTTTTTTCCATAACTTTTTCCAATTTAAAATATGCAAATATCAATAAATAATTGCGTGTAAACATTTAGTTTGTTAACTCTCACATGTAATTATAGGTGACTTTTACCGCTTCTTATATTCGCCATTCTTAAGCCGCCGAATCTATTGATAAACTGTTGAATGTGTCAACCCGAAAACATATAGAGGCCATCATAATATTCGCTCGACCACACCACATGTTACCCCGTTATCAGCGTAGGCCGTTGTGTACATGCATATGTACACAGATATGTCTCCGTTAGCTCTCAGCGGACACCTTGCTCCGATAATGCCGATATATGTACATATATATGTATGTACCATATGTATAACTAAAATTACTAATAATGCTATCCCTCATTTATAGACAATTTGTATATATTATCTAGTATATAAATATATGTATGTATATAAAATTTACAAAATTTTTGCGTTTCATAGTTTGCTCGTTGAAACTTCACGCCAAAACAAACAGATTCTCCTAAGTTCAACGTTGGTGGTGACAATATTAGTGATCGCTAAGCTCTTTGGTATCCGCTAGTCATTGCTGAGAGATTGTTGGAGTTATTGTCTGTACAGATCGCAAATAATCATCCCGGCGGCATAAGTATATATGTACATAAGTACGTACTTATATGACGCTTTGTACTCGCAATCATGTTTATATATGTACGTACATACTATGTCAATAAGCAAGTGAGCAAGTAGGTGCTTGCGCTTTGGTATAATTTTGATAAAGAAATTTTATCAATGCAATGATGAGCCGGTAAAATAAATTGAGGGGTTTGTTTACAGGCAAAGTGAACAAAGCAAGAGGTTGGAGTAAAAGTGAACATACATCCATATTATTATTATTAGTGTTCACCTTCACCGACTCCTTGCCAGTGAATGGCGAACTTGAAGTCAAACCAACACCCATTGCAGCCGAAAGGCTCAAGGTTTGTCATGAATCTTGAGTGACCCTTGCGCAACGTTCTAGTTGTAGCAGGTTAAACTCCTACCTATCCACTTACTTTACTTTTCTCTGTAGACAACAGACGCCGGTTCTGCCAACATTACTATAAAAATACCTGGCCTTGGCCGGAACATTTGAAACAGATAACATTCAAAAGTTCTTGAGGTCATTCTCATAAGCCCGTTCTACTTGGTTTCCAGCTTTATTTTCTATAAAATTTCTATTCATAACAACAAGATAGATCTATAACACTAAAACAGAAAGATGTTTCTATCAATGTAATAATGTGGGTTAGGCTTAGTTAGTTTCTAGTTATCGCAGATTTTGAAACGAATCCGAATAATTTTAATAGCCCTGAACACGAAAAATATATTGAACATTTTATGACATATTAAAATTAAAATTAATCATTACCATCTATGTCATTAAGAAGTCAGAAATTAGTCATACAAAAATTTATTTATGTATTTAGATACAACCATAAAGAATAAACTGAAAAAAAACTATACAAGATAAGATCCCTTCAGCAAGTGAAAATTATAACTGAAACTTACTACAACAGATAATATTTTTAAATATACATATTATTATATCGCCTGGTGTTGAATAGTCACTGAAGTAGAACTTCCGTTGTAATAGTAAAGTACGATAAGCTTTCAGGATAATGCTTATATTTCCCAAAACTTGGAATCACTGAGCTAAACGGTGGTGTAACGAGCTTTACAGTGCACTAGAGCAGAAATAAGTGTTTAAAATTCGTACAAAATATTTGAAATGAAATTATTAAACTACTTACCGATAAATTCCGAAACAGGATCATTATCACCTTCACCACGCATAGTACCCGTAATTTCCTCATTTTCCACCATTGGTAAGAACAGTTGCACAAATTCTGGTGAATATGGTGGCGTTATAGTCTCAAGTACTTCAGTAACAAAGTAGCGTATGAGTGATATGTCTGTGTCACCTTTAGCGCAGCACTGTTTAATATATTTTACAACGGGCACTACACAGCCGCGGGTTAATAGATTAACCATTCGGTCCAATAACATTTTCTTCATTTCTAGTTGTACTAAAATCTCTAGCTCATCCTGCTTCGATTCGAATAGCCTTATAAGTAATCGTAAAATTTGTTGATGCAATGTGGGATGCACAGCAGCGACTTCATCTAGTATGGCCAAATGAGTAGGGCAACTGTCGGTTGATAGTTTAAAGTAAGATGGCTCGGTAACTGTGTTCTCAATCCAACGTATAACACCAACACCAACCACTGGATATCTGCAAATTTGTTAATAAAATTAGTACATTAAATATTTTTCCTTTTTCAAATTATAATTTACTTAATGCAATTGTAAAGCGTTTGCAATTCCGCAATCAGTTCGGTGGAGCCCTTGTTAACATTGCAAATTGCGTGAACTTTTTCGATTGCTTGTATGGTACTTTTCAATTCATCTTTATTGAGCACACGCTCGGTCATTGGGCGCTTTTTTGCCGGTGTGTCAACTACTGAAGCCGCATAAGCCAGCAAGTGAATATACTTGGACTTGTGTTCAGGATTAATTTTTACCCCCGCTTTGAATAGTGAATCCACAAGCAGTTCGAGGAATTGAGGATTTCGTATTAAATCGATTGGTGGGGGGTCTGCAGCAGAATAATTTCGAAACAAAACTGTAATATCTGCTGGATTAAGCGTGTTGCGTGAAAGCATCGATGATAGAGCCTGGCACGCTTGTGGATAAGCTGCGGAGCCATTAAGAGCCATAGTGATGGGAGTTACATTTTGATTACTAATACAAAAATATTTGCTCAACATCATTATCGATATACAGATTAAATTAATTTGTTTCGCTTAAACTTACTTTTGCAGCGCATACTTTGTAATCTCTTGTGACAGACGCTTCATATTGAAACCGCCTTTCGTCTCCTGACTTAATACCTGAATTAGTACTTGCGAGTAAACATACGTATGTTGTCCGTGGCATACCATGCGCGCGCATTCTTGTATAGCCCCTTGTATGTCTTCGGGATTGTTAAGGAACTTTGTAATGGAAGTTTTTAACACCCGCGAAAATACTTCAATTTGCTGTGCAGCAGTTGAAATTGATGTAATTTCGCTTTGGAAACCAGCATCCGAGATTAATTTTATGGTGAAGTTTAACATTAAGCAGTCGGGATACTCCTCCGCCAGTCGATAAATAAGTGAACGCCATGTATGATGGTCAATCATTTCAGTCAACCAGTCAGGCGTCTCTCCTTCTTCTGTAAAAATCGTATCGGCTTTTTTAGGATCAAAGGTCTTCAATATCATGTCTTTAAGGTGGTTTTCCACCATTGCTTGTACATCGGTGACTTTAACGCCAGCAAGAATAAGCCATTCAGCAAGCAAATTTGCCATTTGAGCAACAGCTTTATAGTTTTCGGACAGCATTGTAATAACTTCTTCTGGAGAGCCACCGGATTGGAAATAGCGTTTTAGTTGCGTAAATATCCCGGGTTCCATTATATAATCAGGCGTTAGAAATTTTTCAAGACATTCTTGAATGGTTTCCTGAGGGTTATCCTCGGGCATTTCCTAAAATTACAAACATGAATTTTTAAACGGTTCAAAGGTATAAAGATATAGCTGACCTCGTCCTCGCCAGGTTGCTTTTGACGACCTTGCCAACCCGCATCTTCATATTCCATTTCCATATTGAATTCAATTAAATTTTTACCTTTTATTTCAAATGTTCTTATATTAATAGATTTGGTTTTGCTATTGTAAACAATAACATTCATTTATGCCAACTATATAATGATTTAATTGCGGCGAATGAGGACAAAGCAAAATTTCAAAAGAAACAAATATTTCTACAGCATTGCCAGAACGAAATCAGAAAAGATAAAAATTTATAAAAAAGTGGTTAAGCCTTTCAGTAAATACTACTTTAGCAATATTGCTAACTTGCTTGCATGCTTGTAACTGTAGATTTATTATTTTAAAAAAAAATGGTTCAATTTTCAACTTAAAGCAGAGAACGTAGACCATATGCGTATAATATACATTCTTTGCTTGAAGTCATAACGATGAGTGATTATGAAAGCCCAGGAATAATATTATTATTTATAATTATTTTTGTTTGCAACTTGTTTTGTTCGCTCTAGACAGAAATTTATGTCAGTTCTCCGATGTTTGTTGTTCTAACTTGGGATTGCTATGGAAATTTCAAATTAGATGACTTAATAACTTTTAAAGCAGCCAAATTCCCTTGGCCTTAGATAATTCGAAAAACAAATAATATAAAAATAAAATTTTTCATTAAGACTATCCTAGCCAGTCAGAATTTCCATAAACCTCTTGATTTTTTTTTGCATTTTCTTAAAATAGTTTGAAGGAAATCCGACAGATACTTTTTGAGTTATTCGATAATTATAAAGGGGTTCTCGGGCACTCTGGAACTTTATTTACCTTACTCCCAGTAACAAGAAAAAAAATCATCTAACGGCGGGGTCGGACCAAAGGTAGAACGGTGGTAGGTGGGTGGGATTCGTTGGGCAAGCAAAGAGGTGGTTAGTGTCATGCGGAGACTCGTTGTATGCTACTGTTTAACCTGACTCAGTACCCAAAACGAAGTTGAGCAAGAGTCACTATAGATTCTGGTGGTAACTCGAGCTCTTCGTTTGCGATGGGTGTGGTTTGACTCCGAGTACGCCATTCACTGAGGGGGAGTCGGTAAAGATGTTGATGGCTCTACTGTAAATAGCGGTCAGTGAATGTCTGAAGTTTGTTGCGTCCGAAGTCTGGCCGGCGTACTGTTCAATTTTGTCGACGTAGTGAAGGAAGGACCTTTAGATATCCGTAGGAGGCGCTTCCTCTTCAAGCAGACGACTGCAGGGGTGGTTTCTGCGAAAATATTTCAGCAGAAACTGCTTGGAGAGGAGATCGTTGTTTTCTTTTACCGGAAGCATATGAGCCTCGCTGTGTAGAAGTTCGACCGGAGACATCAAAAAGCATTCCGTAAACACCGAAGTGTAGTATTCTGACATGTCTGAAGCTTATTCGTCTGCGTTGCACTACATCCAGGCCGGCCGATTGCCTTTTAAGTTGCCAGCAACGTTTCTTTGTCTTTTCTCCATGAGCTGACGTCACGTATCCATGACTTGAGGGTTTTGTTGCGGCTCTGTACTTTGGCAGTTATCGCTGTCGTGTGAGGAGTGAAGGACCACAAGCTGTCAAAAGTTACTTCAAAAATTTTAGGGTTATTGACCGTCGGAATTGTAATTCCATCGACTGTAATGTCTAGATCCAGCCTGCGTTCCTTCGTCCAGTTAGTGATTTTGCTACTTACAAGAAGAGCTACTTGCAAAGAAGAAGCGAGAAAGGTCAGCGAGATGGCCGTTTACTTTTGAGCACATGCGATTGATTCCATTGCGCGACGTCAATATCGTACAATCATCAGCGTACGAGGTAATGGAAATTACATCTAGTGGTTGGGGAAGTTTCGATATGTTCAAATAAAAAAGTAATGGAGAGGGACACCACCATGTGGAACCCCCTGTTTAATTCTTCTTAGTTTAGATTTTTGATCTGGAAACAGTACAGATGATTGTCGACCGCTCAGGTAGTTCATAGTCCACCGCTGCAGCCCTGGAGGGAGCGTGGATTATTCGGTATCTTTAAGTAGCGTGATGTGGTTGACTGTGTCAAAGTAAAAGGATCGTCTTCTCACAGGGTGGATTCTGCTTTAGACCATGAACTATCTGGGCGCTTATGACGCAAAGTGCTATGGTGGTGCTGTACACTTTTCGAAAGCCATACAGGTGGTCTGCTAGGCTCAGGTAGTACGTGAAGGTCGGGAGTAGTAAGGCCTGAAGTGTCTTCACAACTGGGAAAAGGAAAGTTATCGAACGATAGGACTCCCCTTTATTGGCGGGTTTCCCAGGTTTCAGTAGTGTGACTACTCTTCCGACTTTCGACACTTCGTCAGCTTCTGGTCAGCTTGGGAGTCATGCTGCCTGTTTGAGCTCCTGAGGACAGTAGAGGTCTTTTGTTGGCTACTCGACTGGATTGGCGACGCAGTGCGCGGACATGATGCATTTTGCACGGCCCTTGAGGCTTGAGGCTGGTGTCGCAATAGTGTGTTGGCAGCATAACTCGTGGTCCAGTCCCTGTGGATCTTAAAGCCTGAACAGGTCTTAACATGGCTTCATCCATAGCATGGGTGGCACCTAACCAAGAAGGAGTTTGGAAGGAGCCTCATGGCGCAAAGGCAGAGCCTAGGTTGGACTCAATGCCAGCTAGGGTCAGGATGCAAACCTGATGCTATTGGTCCAGTGAAGACAATCTTAAACTAAAACTCACCGATCCAAACGGTGTTGTTGTAACGTTTACCTAATCCCCGTTTGGGTGATAAATTCCAGATTGGTTGTCGTCAAGGTAATCTAACGGGAGGCCCAGGAAACGAGCTGTTTTGACGGGATCGGACCATAGGGAAAATGGTGTTAGATGAGTGGGGTTCGCTGGGTATGCAAAGAGGTGGTTAGTGTCATGCGGAGACTCATTGCACGCAGGACATGTGTTTGGTATGTCGGGGTTAGTCCGTGACAGTCCGGAGTGCAGTGTTCTGACAGGTCTGGAGCTTCTTCGTCTGCGTAGCACTACATCCAGGCGACCATATTGGGGCTGCATAGTTTAGGACCGGCCGGCCGATTGCCTTATATGTCGCCAGCAACGTTTCTTTGTCTTTTCCCCAAGAGCAGCCGGCAAGCGATTTGAGGATTTTGTTGCGGCTCTGTACTTTGGCAGTTATCGCGCGCCTCATTGCACGCAGGACATGTGTTTGGTATGTCGGGGTTAGTCCGTGACAGTC